CAGCAGCTGTACTGCCTACGGCTGTGATCTTGTCTGATATTGTCAGTGAAGCAGGGGCAGCTTGGGTCAGGAGCTGGATAGTAGGACTCAAAGGGAGAAGGCGGGGCCTCAGAGCCTGGCTTTTCTGTGTGTACCAGCATCCCGGCTGTACACATCACAAAGGACTCAGGCCTTATGATCCGACACATGTCATTGTCTGCTCCCAGAATATATGCAAATATCCAGAGCCCACCCGAGTATCATATGATCTGTCACAGGAAGCAGAACAGAAGAATTGGGCAACCTCCTCCACTACTAGCTCGGAAAGGTTTTTGTGGTTTTTTAAATCATCATCAGATGACATTAAATACACTCATTTCTATCATTTATCTTATGGTATTATACCGGTGTGTCTAGAAGGAGCCAGAGAGAAGCAAGAACGACAAAGATGATGAAATCATTTAGAAAATCAAAATTAAGAGCAAAGCTAAGGCAATTTGGATGGCATTCAGCCCAAAGGTGGAGAAGTATATTCAGATACCATTCAGAGTGGGAAGGATCTGTATTACATCCTACACAGTGTCAGAATAATTAAAAAAAAGAAACCTAGGACATGTGAGTACATTAGGGTAGCCATGAGAAAGGACTTGCTAATGATGGAATAATAGCAACAGCAATAATAATACTTAGCGCTCTCGTAAGCTTTGCAGGTTTTATAAGCACATTCACATTACTCTTCATTTTTCTTAATTGGAGCTCTGAGACATCTGAATATTCTTTTCATACCAGTTATGGTATTCCCTTTAAAATGCATAGATGCAAGGTTTTTAACCTGGAATTCCTTAGCCCTGAATTTGTTTGGAGACAGGCATGGGCAACATAACCAGTTCGGATCAAATCTAGCTTCATGTCCACTTACTCCACAAGTTAAGATGATTTCTATATTTTATAAGTGGTTGATTTTTAAAAATCTAAAGCAGAATTCCATTGCAAGACACACAAATCCTGAGCCAAATCCTGAGCAGGGTGGTGCCCATGCCCAGAAGAACTCCAGAGACTAACACAGGGAGGGAGACCTCAAATTTGAAGTCAGCCTGGGCTCCTTAGTGAGTCTGGGGCCAGCTACAAAATAAAACCTTGTCTCCAAAAGGAGTGTATGTAGAGAGATGGCTCAGTGGCTAAGAACACTGGCTGCTCTTGCTGAAGACCCAGGTTCAGTTCCCAGCACCCATGTGATAACTAACAACTGTATATAACTCCAGTTCTTAGGGATATGACATCCTCTTTTGGCCTTCCTGGGCACCAGGCACATGGATGATGCACATACACACATGAAGACAAAACACTCATCTGCATAAAAAATTGAAAATAGGGTAGGAGAGATGACTCAACTGTTAGGAGCACTCGTTACTCTTACAGAAGATCTGGGTTCAATTCCTTGCACCCACATGGTGCCTCCCAACTATCTGTAAATCCATTTCCAAGGATCAAATTCCCTCTTCTTATGCCTCCAAGGGTAGCTGGCATATATCAGTTACACAGACATATATGCAGGCAAAACACTCAAACACATAAAATAAAAAGAAATAATTCTTTTTTTTTTTTTTTCCATTTGGTTTTTGGAGCTCGGTCCTGCTCAGTAGACCAGGCTGGCTTCGAACTCACAGAGATCTGACTGTCTTTGCTTCCCAAGTGCTGGGAATAAAGGTAATGTGCCACCACCTCCTAGCTAAGAAATAAATCTTTTAAAAAAATTTAAAATAAACCTTTAAAAACCACAAAGAAATATCATGAAACTCAAATTTCAGTGTCTTGAAATAAAATTTTTTTTTAGAAATAAAGTTTTATTGGAACACATCCAGGTTCATTTATTTGGATCTTTGGCTGCTTTCACACTACAATAGCAGACTGAATATTTGCAAAAGAGACCATATGGCCAGGGAAGCCTAACATACTTACTGTGTGGCTTACAGAAGAAGTTTGCTGACCCCTGCTACAAACCGAGAGTGCAGTAATTCAGTGATTCACAGTAATATGCTATGACTACTACACAGTTGACATTGGTACGTGCCTGCAGTCCCTAATACCTCAATACCTTGGTGGAACCTGGGGCTTTGAGGCCAGCCTGGGTAACACAAAGAGACCCTGTCCTTAAAACAACAGAAGAGGAGGAAGAGAAAGAGGAGGAGGAGGAGGGGGAGGAGGAGGAGGAGAGAGAGAGAGACGACCCTAATCCTCAGCAGCTCTGTGGAGCGAACGAAGTGAGCTGTACATGCCTGGGACCAAAAGCGTTTCTTATCTCTTTAGACTTTGATACATGGATGCTGGGGCCCACAAACGCTGGTCCTTAAGTCTGTGCAGCAAACTCTTTTAACCACTGTACCATTCCTCCTGTCTCTGTCTCCCAAGTGCTGGGATACCATTATGCCCCAGTATCATGGGGGTGCTGGGGACCAAACCCAGGGCCTCAAGCAAGCTAGGCAAGCACTCTACCAACTGAGCTACATCCCCAGTTCCTGTTGCATCCCTTTTGTTTCCTTTTGTTCTTCCTCCTCTATAGCCCAACAGACTCAAGAGAGGAGGGAAAAACCACCAGGCACTGTGTGGAGTATTTTCCAGGGTCTCGTACAACCTTCACAATTCCTTATGAGAGAGGTACAAAGACCCCCCCAACACACACACACACACACACACACACACACACACACACACACACACACACACACCACATAGGTGGTAGGAGTTGAGGCAGGAAGTCAAACTCAAACTGTGACTCCAGACAGCTCATGATTGTCTGTCTGTCAACATTTTGCTGGACAGACTTGTACCCTTCTAAGCCTCAGGCACATCTCCTACCTCAAAATACTCAGTAGTCACAGTCAACTGCTGGAGAAGGGTCTCTCTGCCAGGCCACTCCTCAGAAAGACATTCTCCTTTATTTGGGTGCTGGGTGTATTTGCTGTCTCTGACTAAATCCTTAATTAGCTGCCCTGGCTGTATTTGCATAATGGATTTCACTTTGTTCTTAAGTTAATGGTGTTTTTGTAACAGAACAGTAACCTCTTGGTTCACAGCCATTAAAATAACCGCCACCCTGTGGGGTAGAGCCAGGGTTATGTAAAGGGAGTTCAGTTAAGAGTCCAGAGGAGTAAAAGGAGATGTCGGAGTGGTTTCTGCTTCCTTCCTTAGGAGTGTCTGAAGGGTCAGTGAGGGAGGAGCCCTCAAGTTTGGAGAGAACAACAGGGCAACAGGACATTGCGACTGGGTCAGTTCCTGGCAAACCATCTGGCCCTCCGAACACCCTCATTTTGCTTCCAGGAGACAATATATCAATAAAATGCACTTATGGATTGTTATGGGGAGAGGACCTAGCATAAAAAGATAGGATACTAGTGGGCAGGAGAGTGACACAGAGGTTAAGAGTACTGGTTGCACCGGGCAGTGTTGGCGCAGTCTTTAATCCCAGCACTTGGGAGGCAGAGGCGGGCAGATCTCTGAGTTTGAGGTCAGCCTGGTCTACAGAGTGAGTTCCAGGACAGCCAAGGACTACACAGAGAAACCCTGTCTCAAAAAACAAACAAACAAACAAAAAAAGTACTTTTTGCTTTTGCAGAGGATCTGGTACCCACACTATAGCTCACAACATCTGTAATTCCAATTCCAAGGTCTGATACCCTCTTTTGACTTCCCTGGGCATCAGGAACCAGGCACATATGTAGGCAAAACATTCACACACTAAAATATGCGTAAGTAACTTTTTAAAATAGGACATGAGTAAGAACAATAGCTGGCTCTTCCATTCTGACCCAGGCCCTATAACACGGCTCCAGAAGGCTCCGTGCAGGCCTGCCCTGCTCGAGATATCTGCCCACAGAGGTTCTTCGAGTTTTCAGAACACAGCATGTTCTACTTTGGGCACAGAGTCTAAAGCAGGCATGGAACCCAGAGCTGGTCGGGACCAGCAGGGTTGGTGGAGAGGCAATGGCAGTGAGCAGAAGGCTTCCACACGACTGGCCCCTCCCTCCTAGGGTTGTGTCCCTCCAGTTGCATGTCAAGTTCACACCTTACAGTGTGGAGGGGTGGATCCCCTTACATTCAAGGTCTTCCTCCCTTGCCCACCTGTGCAATTGGGCTCCAGTCTCATGCTCCAGCTGGGCCCACGTCTGATAGCATTCATCCATCATCCTGGTGTAGAAGTCCTCTGGATAAGCCTTTCTGATTATGCGGCTCTGTCCATGTGAGCTTCCTCGGGAATGCGGAAGAAAGAACTAGAAGCAGGGGACAAGAGACATTGGAAGCCACGGCCCTTTGTTCAGCCCTCCCTTTGCCTTTAGACGCCATCTCATCTTTCCAATGGTTCCTTTTTTTCTGATCCTGGGGATTGAACCTCTGGCCTTGCACACACTAGGCAAGTGCTGTGCAGCTGAACCCTAACCCTGGCCCTCTTTTTTACTTTTTATTTTGAAACATGGTCTTGTTACATAGCATAGGCAGGCCTTAAACTTGCAATCCTCCTGCATCTGCTTCCTGAGTACCTGGGATTTTAGACCCCCATTACCAGGCCTAGCTATTTTCAAATATTTTCAGACAATCCTTCCAGTGACTCCCTGCAGCCCACTTACTGGCCAGGCAATCTGGTCAGAAGCTTCTTAGCAGCACTGAGTGAGTTCTCCCTTTTGCAAACAACCCTCGCAGCCACCCGTCCCTTTTTTAGTAACCTTCCATCTCCGACTGCACTCGCATCTCAGTTAGACTCCTAAGAAAAGCAGAATTAGAAGGAACCTTCCAGATGATGCCAATCTAAACCCTTGGTTTTCCAGATCAGAAAAAGGATGCCATCTCACCGAGTCTTCAGGTTACTCAGAATACAGGAACTACCTTGGGACTGGGGAGGGGTGAGGATGTGTGTGAAAAAATTAGAGTTTCCGAAGGGATGTTAACAGGAATCTCTTGGGCTTTGGGCAAACGGATAGAGAAATTGGAGACAATTTCTAACTATTCCAGGAAGAGTAAGTGGAAACCAGCTTGGAAAGCTGCAGGCAGAATGGAAAAGGAGAAGCCACTGAAGTAGAAAACTCCATGTGATGAACAGTGTAGGCCCCGCCCCTAAGGGGGTCCTGCAGGTTCCCAGTGCCATCCTCATTTGCAGTAGTCCTGTGACCACCTTTCCTTTAAGGAAAAGAAGACCTGAGTCTTAGTTCCTGTGAATCAATCAAAGAGGCTACTATTACCCGAAGGCAGCAGAATCGACAGAGGCTCTGCTAGGCTCTGGAAGGAGAAGCAGGGGAAATGCAGTCAAGAGCCTTCCTCCTTTGCTTCTAGGCAAAATGGTCTTTTATTTAAGGTTACTCAGAGCAGAACTGAACTGATTCTTTTTCTGGACTGGATCAATGGTTTAGGTAGCAAAAAATGAAGAGAGGTGAGGCACTTCTTAATCCAGGGCAAGAACTGAGAGGCAGTAATAAGAATATACCAAGAAACTCCACATGGCCTTGAGGGTGTGACTTTTCTTTGAATTGTCAAGGTTCACATGAAGTAGCTAAGCTATGAACTGCACAGAATTGGTGACATTGGGGCCTTTGGCTTCACCCATAGCCCAAGTTCCAGAAAGCCCTCCCCAGGTGAGGAAAGAGGAAGGAACAGTCTTGTACAGCAGAAGGAGAGAAGGGACATTGTACCTGCTCCAGCAGGAGGACCTTCTTCGAGTGTTTGGCCAGGTGGTATGCAGTGAAGCAGCCTTGGATGCCTGCTCCGATCACAATAGCATCCCAGAGACCTTTCTGAGCAGTCATGATATCCGCTTAGCCCTCCAGCCACAAAGCCCATGGGGACAAAGCAAACAAAGGCACCTCCCAGGCCAGAGGAGGAGGAGGAAGGCAAAGTTCAGCTTGGCCAAAGTTCCCACAATCCCCGGGTGCCTGTGTCCTTGTCTTTCTTTCCCTCCCAAAAGCCTGGCACAGGGCTCAGCCTCCGCCTCCCCTGCAGAGCAGAGCTGGGTAGACTGATTTGTGAGGTTTAGCCCAGCTCAGCTGCCAGCCTCACCCTTGCATCCCTCTAGCTTGCTATTCTTGGCTCAATTATTGTCATGCAAATGGGCTCCTTCCTATGCCACCTTCCTGTCTCATTATGATCTTTGTCTCAGGACTTCGGCCCTGGAATTTCAATGCCTCTTAGACCAAGCTGGGCACCGGGACTGCTGCCTCCCGCTGCTGGCTTTGCTCTCTGCAGCTTCATTTCCTCTAGAGATCTACAGGCCAGCTAAGAATTTGGCAGGATGCCCAGGGTCTGGCCCTCCTCCCTGGTAGGTGGTGAGGTCAGGGGGTAGATGCAGGGGCCAATTGGGAGGGCAGTATTGTGATTATGAAATCATTCTCAGTGTGTTTTACTTTCATGTTGAAAAAGGAGAATAAATATGGGGGGGGCAGGAAGGACAGTGAGGAGGAACCTTGTCCTCAGGCACACAGAGAACCAAGAGCCAGCCTAGCACACATAGGGCCCATGTGTGGAGAAGCCTTCTGTGCCAGGCAGCAGGCTCAATGGGTATTGTTACAGACACTGGGGACAGAGCCAGGGTTGGCAGGTCCTGATTCTTATACAATTTGGAGGTCCATTTTAATAAAAGGAGAAGGGGACTGAAGGCATAGCTCAGTGGTAGAGTACTGTGATTGGCATGCTTGAGGTCCCAGGTTCAATCCCCAGCACTAAAAATAAAAGAGGGAAAAAAGAAAGGAAAAAAATTAGTCATGCAAAATTAGATGGCAGGACTCAGGAGAGCTGCTCAATGAGGGAGCCCCATGGTTGAAGTTTTATTAGCTTCCTGGTAAATTTGCCTCTGAATACATTATCTCATTAAATTCTCATTTTTTTGTGTATTTTTGTCCTCATTTTTGGCAGATTGAAGATAGCCTCAAGTTCTTTGTCAGTCTTCCCACCACATGCTTGCCTGATAGAGCTTGGTGACTGCCACACACCTCCTGGCTTGGGCCTTCAGGCGACTTCCTCTCCTGGCCTTGGAGAACTCATTCTTAGACCTTGAACTATCATGTTAGAAGTTCAGCCACGCTGTGAGGGACAGCAGATGAAGAAGCCCCAGGATGACACAGAGAGATGCACATAAGAGAAAAGCCATCTTGGGCCTCATACCCAGACCAACTAAACACCATTGAGTGACCAAGGCAGAACCATATAACCCAGCATCATTGATATGAGATGCATCCATATTCCTTGATTTTATGAGGTAAAATAAAATGCTTGTTTTTAAACACTGACTTTTCAAAATGACTGTTTATATAGTCATAATTCAAACACCACTACACAGCCAAAGATGGCAGGGTCTGCCCAAAGCCCCATATCCAGTATATCTAGATGCTGAGACATGAACCCAGGTCTGTCCGCTCCAAAATTCATTGGTTCATGCTGTTTTACTTCTTTTTTGGATACAGGATCTCATATATTGCTTAACTGGCCTTCAATCTTCTTTGCAGCAGCAGGTGATCTTGAACTTCTGAATCTTCTTCCTCTGCCTCCTGGGAGTGTAGACCTATCATTCTATTTGGTTTAAAATGGTGCTATGGGCCCTGCAGTGGTGGCACATGCCTTTAATCTCAGCACTCAGGAGGCAGAGGCAGGCAACTCTCTGAGTTCAAGGCCAGCCTGGTCTACAGAGTGAGTTTCTAGACAGCCAGAACTACAAAGAGAAACCCTGTCTCAAAAAAATAAAACATTGTATTGGGGATCAAACCCAGGGTTTCAGGGACCCTAGGCAAGTAAGGACTCAGTTGAGTCACACACCTGGCCTCAGACACTTCCCATCCATTGCAATACTGTAGTGACAATTCATTAGAGGTTATAGTCAAATTTCTGATTTCAATATTTTGCTGTTTTTCTGCTGGCCATACAATAAAGAGAGGAACTAGTGATGTGTGATGCAAATATGACTACCATGTTACAAGGGAGTTGCTTCACCTCAGCACAATGGCTGACTGAGGCCCCCAGCGACACTTGTGATCCATAGACAGCCCTCAGAATAGCAACTGGCTGTCTTCTGGCCAGCCCTTTCTTTCCTAATAGCATAGGAGCCCAAGGAGGGACTGCCATCTGACTAGACTTTTTTTTTTCCAAATAGAAGAAAAAAAAAGAAAAGAAAAAGAAAAATCCTTCTAGAGTCTAAAGGTCACGGCATTCTGTCTCCCCACCCCACAGAGGACAGAATAGCATCTGCCTCACCACTGGACAGATATACACTAAAATAATAGCAGATATAACCAAGAAAAATATGGTACCCCGAGTGTGTAAGGGCTTGATAGAAATATATAAGATCAGCCCCTGGATTTCTTATAAGATGTCAACGGAGATGAACAGCTTGCACGCAAGGAAAAGCAGGCAATAAATCCTTGCATGGAAGTGTGCCCAGTTCCACCAGCAGTCAAAGAGAAGGGAATTAAATAACTCTAAGGTACTATTATGTGTCTATTAAATAAACAAAAATAAAAATGATAAAACTTATTATGTTGTCTGTGTTGCAGGTGGCAATTCAAATTGGATCCTGTGGAATGTTCTGGGGCATACACAATAAGATAAAATAGTTCAAACACTCTGACCTAGAAATTCTACTTGATGAAATATTCCCTCGGGGGAGGAAAAAAGGCATTTGTATGAAGGCATGCATATCTATGCTCTTATAATATTTAAAAAAAGAAACAATCTAGCAACAGGGAATAGCTAAGCAAACGCTGACATGTTGACACACTGCAATACCATGGCAGGCGTGAGGACCCTGCTTTGTAGAAATGCAGATATGAAATTGATATACAGGGACATAGAACACATGACACACACTGATCACACCCATGACTTCTGTGTATGCTGATCAAAGATCTAAGAAGAAACTGGTGAGGTAATTGAGCTTAATGTTCATTAGTTCCCGTATTCTATAAAAATGGTGCCTCCATTCACAATTTGTAAAAGAAGGAGACATCCCTGGGGCAAGCCGACGCCTCACATCTCTCTGGTCACTGGTTCCACGGTTTGGGAAGTCCTTTCTTTGTTCAAATCTCAGTTCTTCCTGCTACCGACATTGTTCAGTCCTCCAGGGAAGCTGCAGGGAAGCTGCCAAGCCACTCTGTATTCCCCCCACCCCCCGTTTAATATAATATCCCTTCAGAGATAAAATGACAATCCCATTTCCCCGTCCCTACTTCACAAGCCTGCCCTGGATTCCTGGACTCAAGCATTCTGTTTCTTGTTAAGAATTTCAAACGGCAGCTCCTCCGAAAGCCGCTACTGGCCACGGCCCAACCTTGAAATGAAAAGCAAATCTGCTTCTAAAGGCTTCCCCTTCTCTCAGGATTGCCCGTCCTTGCAAATGTCCTGACAGGAGCAGGCAGAAAGAGAGAAGCGATCCCCTCAAATTCCATTTTAACACCCATTCTGGATTGGAGGACTATTAAAGGGCGAGCCAACAGCCCTACACCTTGCTGCTTGTGTGTGTCAGCAGTCGCGGCTCCGCTGGGCTCGTGTCCTGGGGCAGAGACGCTGAGGGTGTGAGGCTGAACTGCTCATCCGATAGCTTGATTGACACTTTGCAGACAGGGGTGGAAGAAGCGAGCCAGGGAAGCAGCAAGCTGTACAGCTCAGAAATAATGAAAGGACCCGAATGGAGAGAGAGAGAGAGAGCGTGGAATAAATAAGAGAACTAGGAGCGGAATGGGAGAGCCTTCTGCTGTTTTCTTCCCTGCTCCACTTTGCCAAGGAGCTGAAGCCTGGGGCAAGGAGGCAGGCAGGCAGGGATGAGCCCTACCCTGAAGGCAGATCCTGCCCGCTGCTGGGGTGCCTGGGGTCCAGAATACTTACAGGATGCTGGGTGTGGGAACGCAGAGAACAGGCTTTGTGGGTGCTTTCCATACACATCGCTTACCCTGCGGCTGTCCTACCTCAGGTTGATCGCCCCCCTCCTCAGTTCTGCTCCCTTAGGTCTGGTCATCCACCTATCTCTTTAAATGGCAAATCTGGACAGGTTACTCCCCGTTAAAAAAAAAAATTCTTCATAGCTGCCCTTTCCTATTAGGATAAAAATCTGAACTCCTTAGCTTGGCATACGAGGTAGCTTTCTCTCTGACCTCGGCTGGCTCCGGCAGCAGCTCTACCACTGACCCTTTCTCCTTGTGCTCTTAGCACCCTAGCAACGCTGAGTAGAGAGTGGAGAGAGGTTCCAGCACTCACCTGATTATTTCAAATGCCCAGGCACCCCGAGGCACTCCCAGGCACCCGCAAGCAGATGCAGTCTTTCCTATATTGTCTCCCTATCCTGCAGAGAACCCACAATAACAATACACATATTGTGCTGTAATTGTTTGCATGTCTGCCTTCCCCCTACGCCTCTTAAAAGGAGGGAGTCTCCTATTGTCATTTTTCGTAGGTAATACATACACATGGAACAACAGTAAAATGTACAAAAGAGAACACTGTGGGAAGAATATCCTTACAACCCATTCCCAGAGCTCAGTTCTCCTAGCAGATGCAACACTGTTGCTATTGTCTTTTGTGTCTTTTCAGAGGTGTTCCGTGAGTATACAAACATGCTTATACCGTGTGTGTGTGTGTGTGTGTGTGTGTGTGTGTGTGTGTGTGTGTGTGTGTGTGTGTGTGTGTGTGTGTGTGTGTGTGTGTGACCATATCAGATAACACCCTGGTAGTTTCAAATCCTTCATTTCTGAGATCCACATCAGTCTTAAGGAGTTGGCACCTTTTTGTGATGGCTGTGTTGAATACACGGTATGAAGGAGGCGTTTGGCACAGAGACAGCACCCATATATGCCTGTGATGGGTGACAGGGTTCTCTGGTTATAACAGATACCCTGGATTCCCAGGACTCTCTGGCTGTTCTGGGACTGGGTGTTCAGCAATGGAGAATTGCCTTCCTGAGCAGGTCAGAAAATTCTCCAACTTGAGTACAGAAACCCTGGATCTTGCTTCCTGATGTCCATCTGACTTTTTATTTATTAAAAGGCAGTCATCAGAGTCAACTCTACAGCAGTGAAATCTCTAGGCTGATTCCAGGGAAGGGAGATAAATGAAAGTCCTGGGAATTAGGACTGACAGCTCTGTGAAAATATTACATTATCTTTTAGTCTGACAGAGTTGGGATACAACTCCAAAAGGATGCTCTCAAGCCTGGGGTTGTGGCGGACACCTGTAACCCAAGCACTTGAGAAGCCAAGACAGAAGGATAAGGAATTCAAAGCCACTCTCAGCTATACAGCAA